TAATAATAATAATAATAATAATAATAATAATAATAATAATAATAAACTAAGTAACGAACAAATTGCGCTTAAAAGCAATAAAATGATAAAACATGAATGCAGAACGTACACACCTGAAGAAATACAATATAACAGTTGACAAATAAATTGCCAAAACATATTGAAATCCAGTTTCTTGGGGAATTCCAATCCAAAAACTCAATTAAAAAAATAATAAAGCGAAAGAAATCTAGGATAAAACAGTAAATAATAATAAGTGTAAATAATAATAAAAGACTCGAATTTTATAATTGAATAAATTTGAAAAATAGAATATTATCTCTAGTTTTGAAGACTAAAAGTTTCTAAGCATGAACCTAAATCTACACTTGCTATGATGACCATGACTAGCACGATGATAACTGTTAAACGGAATATTCTTATTTACCCTTTTCAATGCAAATCAGTACTTAAAATTTCGTCAAAAAAGAATCCGGTAAAGGAAGAGCATTCAAAATATAACTTGGACTGTAACTATTGCAAAAATAAATGTCTGAAAAATGAGAAAAAAGTATAGTAGCAATCATTAAATAATCAAAGTTGGTAAGAGTAACAACAGAATCCAAAGAAGAAACAATTTGAATATTAGAATAACAATTGGGATAATCTAAAATCTTCTGAGATATGTCCCACATATTGCAAAACGCATGGAGAAAAAGTTTTATCACAAATTTTACAAATTTTTTTTTAAACATAAAAGAATTTCTGTCACCATCACATTGTCAAAGGAAACCACTATGTATGAGCCAGTCACAAACAAACCCCATAGAAGATGCCATGAAAAATACCAAGAATTAATGTATAATGAAAATAAGCAAAACCTAGTATCATTAAAAGTGCATTCAAACTAGCAGCACTTCAATCATCCAACATCATAGAGGTCGCACCTTCTGATTAGAGCTAAACAAGTTCCTAGTCATTCAGTTAGCGGAATATGTGTATAACAGAACTCCCTAAAAGCAATTAGAATAGAAGCAAAAATCAATTAGTTTGACCAAATAATCGATCTTCATAAGTTAAGAACAAAACAATTTCACTAATTATATCAGGAAAAGCGAAATAACATTAACTTCAGAAATCTGATGAACCAAAAGACTACAATCTTTCTCAATATTATAAAAAGAAGTAATTAAAAATTACAATCAAGGAATTTCTTATTTAACGATAAAGTAATAAAAATGAAAAAGTCTTAGCTAAAGGCTAAAGGCACTGATAAGAGCAGTAATAATGAATTAAATAAGAATTTCAAACAGACAAATTAACTTGTTCCAACGCACAATAATAAAAGCATATTTTGAATAGTTAATGTAAAATTAATAGAACTAATAAAGAAGCAACTATGTAAAATCTAAAATCATAACATCTAAAGACAACTCAGGTGGCCATCCACTCATAAAGATGGATAAAAAGTCCAACCACTACCCGAACCAGAGCAGTGAAAAGAAAACGGATAAATCAGTAAGCCAAAAAGTAAACAAAAAAACAAAGTATCAACATGAAAAGCAATTTCAACGGTACCCAATGTTACATTCAATATGTAATTACCAAAACGCTCTCTCATAGAAAAAATTATGAAAACACTATACATGGTTAAAATGGAATTACAAACCTATCCGCTACCAAAAAACAAGTACCACGAGCATTTTGGTAATTGCATATTGATAGCTCAGAAGGAATAATTAGCTCAGAAGGAATAATTTGAAATAAACTCAGAAGATAGCTCAGAAGGAATAATTTGAAATAAACGAAAACGATCTAAGCCGGCCCAATAACAAAAACAATATAGTAAATACCAATAGTTTTAGGGTTAATCCTATTAGTAATGTTGCACTTTGACACATTACCAAAAGCCATCCCACAAAAAATAACCATATCAAATAACAAAATCAAATAAAAAAGAAATTATGCAATCACAAAAACTAGAGGTAAGGTTAAATTACACTGTGACTGTCACATACATAACTTATCTTACCGCCAACACCAAGAAATAGACCCAAACGTAAACAGAGTAATAAAAAGAAGCCAAATAATAAATAAGTCAAAATAAAACACCGACATAAAAAACAACTTACATCTATCAATTCAACATTAAGTATTTATAAAAGAAGAGAAACCGTAGTGAAACAAAACATTAAACGAATAACATACTCACATTAAAATACTCATGCAAATAATAAATTGAAAGATTGTTAACAGTATGATAAAATTTCCTAAAAAAATAAAATATTATAATAGAAATATATCCATGAGTTAACATTATTACAAAGCCATGGACTTGACATAGTAAACCTCAGATAATAAAACAAAACCTATGAGACAAATAGAAGAATAAGTTGACAAATCATTCTGAACTATGCAAACAAAAGAGCAAAATAATAGCATCCTGATTAATAGTAATTCAAAAAATGATACAAGACAGCTCTTCCCAATTTTAACATAACACAGCTAATCCTAGTACTGTATTGTTAGTACTATCATCTTAGCATTGTAATGTTTTTGACTTTTAGAACAAATATACAAAAAATCCCTTGGAAATTCAAACAAAAAAGCATAATCTCAATAAAAATACAAAGGATTTACAGATGCTGGCTCCAACAAAAGCAAATTCATAACATAACATTCGGATAACATAACATTTTATACAATAGAACAAAAGTAGCAAATTGTAAGTGGTTCAATGTTGTGATTTTGAAATGTCCATCCTAGTATTAATTCATAACATAACAGGAAACAGTTATGCAAATCACATATGTCCATCTGTCACTTCCTACAATTTTCATTTATTTTGATCAACAAAACGATTAGTCGGAAAATTCTTAATCGCATTTTCAGTGTTGCATGAATGTTTCTAATAGAGAAAATCTTGTTGGTCGAACAATATAACTGACTAAAAATATACCTCGACCCATTTTCTTCTTTCATATATATATTCCGGATCTCTTCTTTATAGCCAATAAAGAAATGTTCCGTTTAGTTTTTTGAAGGTAATTAACTTGGTTACTATTAGATTCCCTCATTTGCAACTTACGATGAACATTGATGACATACATGCTGAAGTTGGCGCTGATATTGTTCATTAACAAAATCTTTTCTTTTTTTTTATATAACTCAAAATCTAACATCCTGTAGACAACACTTTCCGATCAAGTTTGTCCTATTTTTCCAACCTTAGGGTTTATGTGTTATCTAATCTGCAAATCATATTTCTCGTATTTACCGCTAGCAACGTAGTGATGCTATAAAAACTGATTGGTAAATCATTCCGACTTCATACCTTAAGAAAACTGTTCGTGTTTGGTGTCATATTGGAGCGCTCAATGATATTTCATGGCCTAGTTTCTGGCCAAGCATCCTAAAACTAATGTTCATAGCAAAAGAGGGGCTATCCTTCCTTCTCTGCTAAACTAATATGAATAATTATCGCTGCATCCCTTTCTTTAGGAGTGCTTTTGATTAATCGATGTTTTGCTTTGTCTTCCCTGCAATGATTTTGTCGAGCTCATTCCTCGGAATAAAATGCTGCATTAGCTTCTCTCAACTTCTTTTGAAAGCGATTTTGTCTGATGGAATAATGTGACAAAAGTACGCCAGGATATTACAAAGGTACCCACGAACTGTTGAAATGACTTGCTAAATGTTGTAGAATCATTATTAAAGTCAAAACACTCATTCCAACCGACCACTCTGGTCGGAACTTTCAGTATCTACAAAATTAGCCAGTACCAGACAAGATAATTTCATTTGTTGAATTCGTTGTTTGTCAGATAGATTTTTCATAAAAACGGATTGCTCACATTGAATAGAAACTAAAAATGATTCGTTAGTATTTAATTCTAAATTATGGATTACCATTTTCAATCAGAATTAATATATTCTAGATGACAAATCGGTCGGTAGATGGTAAAGTGCGTACACACTACCATTTCTACGATACTTACTAAAATGCGAAACACGTAAAGATAAGTGCTTTTATATCAAAAAACGTGCTAAATCCAAATACTTCTTTGTCAAAACTCAGTAAATGATGTTATAACAGTATCACATAAAAGTGCATCATATTAAATCTACTTTCTGTCTTATTAGACAGAAGGGCCTTTTGTGAATAACAAGAAATGATCCCTCGGTACTGCTCGAAGACAAAAAGTCACCGATAATTGTTTGGATTTTGATCAGATTGTTAATGAGACTGATCGCTTTGATCGGTTGGCATTGATCAGCAGATTCCTTTGTCTACCTCTCCGTCTTTTTAATGATTCCAGAGGTGTGAGAGTATGCATATCTCCATGCACGTGTGCGTGCACGTGTACGTGTGTGCGTATATGTGTATATGTATATACGATTTGTCATGGTAATTCTCAGAGTTAATTGACAAATGGCACGTTAAGCCTTTGATACACAATGCAAGACATATTTTGTCTGCTGACCTTAAAAAGTATCGGAATAGCGAGTAGTGGGCAGTTCCGCGGAGGAGAGGTGGTGAAACCCGAGAGGTGGTGAGCCCGAGAGGTGGTGAGCACGTCAAAGTCAACTACTTCATGATGTTTTTGGAGAAGCGACCGGTCAGTCACTCATAGGGCGCTGATATTACGAACTGTTTACTACTTTTATTAATGAACAGAATGAATAAGACTTGTCGCATTCATTTGATAACTGTGAAGGTTTAATCCTGAGAACTATTATCCATTCTTCACTTTTCTCTTCTCTCTTCACTTTTTCTGCTCTCTGTCGTGCTTTTTTCCGGTTTGCTCCCCTCTGTGCTCTTTTGCTGTTTTTCCCCTTCTTTTTTCTCTCCCATCTCTTCACCATCTCCTTTATCCTCCTCCTTTCTTTTCTTTTCTTCGGACTTTCTTCCATCACTACTGCTCTCTTTCTCATCTCCCTTATTACCTTTTACCCCATCCGTTTTCTTTTTCGTTTCTCTCTTGGTACCTTTCTCATCCTGTCGTGATGTTGAAGACGTGATTTTGCGAGCTGAATCTTGACCTTCTATTTTTGCATCCCTCGCGGGATCTGAACTCTGAGTGTGACTGTTATGGACAGTATGTTCTTCACCTGGCATATTGTCGGGTAGTTTCTTACCCCGAGTTTCGGGTACAAGGAAGAAGTAGAGCAAGAAGTCGGCTGCGCTCGTTATCAACATCAGAAGAAATGGCGCCGGCGGCCAGTGCTTACTCTGCAACATGTTTATCTATCATTCCCGTTTTGGCTGCAGTCACAAATTTATTCCTTGAGAATAGCCTAATATCAGATAAGGATGCATTTCTAGGATGAGATTTTTCCGCCACACCACTGCTTGCCGGAACGGTGGTAGTAACCTGTTCTTCTACGTTACAAGAAAAGCGGAGCGGTGCACTAACCGGAATGAACACAAGCGGGCTGACAATGGTGCCCAGTCGATTGAACGTTTGAATGAAAGCAATTCCTGCACTCCGGACTGGTGTCGGGAAAAGCTCGGTTGGTTGTACAGCGTCCAGAACAAATAACTCGGTGCACATTGCCGCTGCCAAAAGGGAGGCGTATCGCGTGAACATAATGATGGCATGGATCGATCCTTCACCTGAAATTCTTGCATTAACACTTTATAGTATGATAAACTCATTCATTCCTTCCCTAACAGTCTTCACACCAGCACGCAAGCATTATCTTATCGTTATGGTTTCAGCTTCCGAACATACACTGAACATATTCAGTAATACCCAATTAGCGACAAATGCCTAGATCGAATTAGAGTAGGATTTAACAGATAACTTTTGATGGCATTGAGGATTTATTTGTATACAAGAATTTGAATACCTATGCCACCAGCTTTTACAACTGCTTTGTAGGTGTCAATTCTTGGCCCTGGAAAATTGATTCAATTATTTCTTTGAACATTTCTTCAAATGTATTTAATTCCATTTCTTTCCTTCATCTACGGGAATTTACACTGAATTATCATCAGCTGCAGATATCAGATATTTTTTGTTGATTATGGTTTTTGTGAAAGTGAACTTCACGAGCAAACGGCTTTTCGACATGATGACATGCATGACTCCACATATATCGATAATGTACCGAAACATTCCATCTGATATCAAATTACCGTGTCGAAGTATAACCGATGCAGCATTTGGAGTTTTCTATAATCTATTTCCTATGATTTTGAAGGAATAGCTTACATGTAAGCAAATAAATGACAAAAATGATTCCCATAATAACAACAATAAATCCAACGGCAACGAGATGAAGTAAACGTCGTCCAACACTTTGAATTGAAAATTCAAGTCCCGCAGCCGATATATTAATGGCCCATCTTGCAGCGCCCAGAATAATGACATTAATGTAAACTGTACCCGCCAATGCGTCCATATTGTACGCAATACCGTAACTTATGAAACTTGTTGAAAATCTGCAATGCAGTTACAGACAAAAGGCTCATGTGATGGTATAATATCAGTTTGGCAATTTTATCCAAATTCTTTTCTTTTTTATACATATGAATGGGAAGATTAATTAGATTGAAAACTCTGGGAGTGGTATAAAGGGATGATGTATATGCAAATGTGTCCCCAACCACTCACAAACTTGTCGCAAACACAACTGCATAACTGCCGAGTTTCCAGTCGCTGAATAGATGATAAAAGTAGTAATTTTTCTTTCCTTTTCCCATTTTTACCAGCTGAAATTAATTTAAAAAAATGAATTAGTTGGTTCAAATATCATCTGTACAAAAATGAATGATTATAATGTGGAAATCCGTATTTTAATTTGTCGCTTACCTCCTCCTTCGCAGCATCCTGAACAACAGCGACAATTTCCTCTTCTCTTTCCGGTGTAAGTTTTTCATCCCATTTCCGAATGTAGACAGCTGCCTTTGATGCCTCATCTCCCTTTCCTTTTTTATCAGCCATCGCGGTGTATCCATCAGGAATCTTAATTTTTCATTCAAATTACTGCTCAATGATTGGAATAATGCTTTATTTTAAATTTTTTATAATTTTGCTTTGGATATATTATCAATAATCTCGTCAACTAATTATATTAAACGCAGTTGTTAAGGAAGGATCGGAAATTAAAAGTATTTAAAAAAAAATACAAAACAAGCAACATAAAAAGGCCTACGGTATCATGATCAGAGGCAATACCGCTATGGAAGCAGCTACCCACGACAGGATTTTCCATTTCTTACATATATATGCGATACCAGCCAAGATGATGTAATTGGGTGAATATGTAATCACGGTAGCTACCCACATTCGATGCTTGTCGGGTAAATTTTCCATAAAATACGGATTGCAAACACTACAAGGGTAGGGAAGTTCCGGTTGACGAAAAATAAATTTAATAGTTTGGAAGGTTTTTTGTAGATAGAATGCACTCTAGGAAATTTATATGGATTTTTAGAAGCTTATTTGAGAGACAAAATTCAACTCAGGCAAACAATGATTTATCGATGCTTACCAATGCTTCCCTCCAGTGAAGATCATATCGAAGAAGCGAAAAATAGTGAATATAATGAAAGATGGCGAAAATGGTGTAACAACAAGAAATATTATTAAGCCGACAGTAAATGATAGCAGTACCTAATATTCACTTGTTTTTTCAAAATTAAAATTTTTTAAGATGATACAATTAAAATTGATGACTTTAATTGCATCACCTTCTTGGAACTTTCCAATCTTCTATTTGTTTAATTTGCTTTCAAAATTCAGAGTACTTGAAGTAATGATAAGTTTCGATAATTGTTTTGTATTGCCAAAGATAATATCCTTTTTGGTACAAATGAAATAAATTACAATTTGATGATTCTGCTAACAGTTTATGCTTACTTTTTTCCTACCAAAGATATCAGCAAGATTGCCAGCTACGATAGCGCCAACCATTAAGCCAATATTCTGTATTGTTGTACCCAGTTTAACATATTCCACTGGTATATCAAACTAAAATTCTGGACAAAGTAAATTGGCGAAAGGAAGTAAGAGAAAGCATGCAGTTGATTTCTTATTCACGATAATCGTCAAGAAGATACAAATTAATTTTATGCAGAATACCACAGTAGAATATGTCCTCTGTATTAAATATATCAGTTTACTGATATTGATAATCGAGGAAAGATTGTGTGTAGTTAGTGTTTACAAATTAACAAAGTCTCATTTAATTATGATTTAACTAATGTATAAAACTATAGAAAAAATCATACATCATGACTTATAGGAATGAAATCATAGGTTTTTGTAGAGCATACGACATTACCACTTTGATTTGTTGTTACCCAGCAGTTGCTTATGTTGCAGGTTTTTGTTGATATGTAATCCGGGTATTCTTTTTCACAGACGTCTTCCACTTTAGGTTTTCGATCTAATCAGAATTTGAAATTATTCGGCAATTTAAACAAAGGCAATAGTTTATAGCTGTTTCCTAAACCTAAATTCATCCGGAGTTTAGTTGATGAGATTGGAATCTCATATCCGCTTTTGAATTTTTCTGATAAATTCGATTTACTTTTAAAAAACAATCGAAATGCCTAGTTCGAACAGCTATGTACTTGTTATCAATTCATCATCAAATCGTTTTTTCTTCTTAGTGTGGATAGAAGAATCAAACCAAAGTATGATTATGCAGGTAATACTATTGGAAAGCGAACCGGCGAAGGTCATGAAGAGCAGGTTACACACTTGCGACAGGACCATGAAAAAATATACCGAAGTCAGGTAGACCACATAATTGCCACACGTCTGTATATCAGATATCTTGAACTCGGTGCTAATTGATATTTTTGACGATTTCGGTTTCTCTTTTTCTTTTTTAGCATCTTTCAACATCCTTCTAATTGAGTTAATAAATGGAATTTTAATGAGGGAAGAAAGTATGATTTGATTTGCATTTTACAAAGTAAATAAGTATTAATTAAATGTAGCAGTAAATATTTTGTTAAAAATAAATCTCATCATAAAAAGCAGAAAATAACTTTTTAGGGTTTCCCAATCTAGAATATCTTTGCAATTTCAAAACTCCTCAGAAATGCTAATTAATTTTTATATTTATCATACGTTGCATTCTTCACTTTTTATATTCTTTATTTTATTTCGAATGGAACTCGAAATAAATCCGAGTGACTATTTTAAAACCCAAATTAAATTCTGGCACTTCCACAATCAGCTAGGTTATGACATTCATCCTACTTCTAAGCGTTTTATTCATCCTACTTCAAGCGAAAAGATTTCATTTCTATGTTTTCGCCTTCGACAAAAATGCAACTTAATGCAATACAGATAATGCATATCCCGAAATCAAAAATGGTTTGAGATAATGGAATTTCCTTTATGATTATAAGTAAATTCCTTATGAGTGTAAAATACAAAGGAAGAAAATTCGCAGCAACAGCCGTCTAACCTCAAGTCGCTTCAAATTAAAAGTATTGTACAACAAAATCCCGAAATCTCTATAAATACCATTCAGAAAATTTGCATACAAATTCATATTGATTTCATCATAGAAAAGCAATATGTTACCGCTCGAAATTTTCCGAAGCTTCATATCTATATTTTGTCCATTCATCATCGCTTTCTCTGGTTATCACACTTAAATTACCATCATTTCCAGATATCTTATCCTTACTTGTTTTTAAGAGCCTAACCTGATGTCACTCAACTTCATAATTTCTCTTTCATCATTCACTACCTCAAAATAAAAGATATAAAGATCAAATTAGTAGAAAGAGAAATTGAAGAATAGTGTATCAGACTAAGTGTTCATACAGAAATGTCCATCAGTGATCAAATTTGCTTATTCAGTGGTTCATTTCAAATCAGCTAAAAACATGTTATACTCATTTTATCGTTTCCAAAGTTACAAAAATTCCAAACGTAACTAGCAAGTAATAAGCAAATGTTAACTAGTAACATTGTCCAAGAACAATATTACATCCCGAATAAATCTATATCGCTAAGAAACGAGTTTAGCTTTCCCGACACCACATTACATCCACCTATCACAGGTACTACAAGACGATACAGTGCTTATGAATCCGTTCACTCTCAAAATTAAACATTAGTTCCAGTGTGTTCAGTTTTAAAGGCGTATATGTCCTCACAGATAGAAGAAGTCTTGACTGTATATAGTTTAGATGTGTTTAAAATAGAGATCTCATGGTTTCATTAATGCCGAAGTTACCGGTACTGAGGTTATCTGTATTGAACAGATGCTATCAAAACTGTTAAAGCCGAAATTTGAATTTAGGTCGCCATTCAATGGCGGCATCTCCTTCCTGATTCTCCCATTCCTAAAAACCTCTATTTGATTCATTTCTGGTGTTGTCTCTGTTAACTTTGATCACTGATAACCTCCTCATCCAGTCAATGCTTTGTTCAAGATCTGCATAAACCGCACAGCAAAACCAGTGTCGTGTAGAGTGGCGGAGTCTTTTAAAGTCTCTTGAATTTCGACAGATATTGGCGTTTGTGACTTGGTTATAGACTTTTCTCGACATTAACCCCATCCATGACCATTTTCTGATCATGATGAGATATCGAAAACAAATCCTGTGGAACAATAACACTTTATGCAGACAAGCAAGACGAAATTTTCTGAAGATAACAACAGCAATAACAATAATAATACTAATAACAACATTAGTAATAATAACAATTAATAACAATAATAGTAATGAATAATAATAATAATAATAATAATAATAATAATAATAACAATAATAATAATAATAATAATAATAATAATAATAATAATAATAATAATAATAATAACAAATAGTAGCAATAATAAATAATAAGCTAATAAATAAATAAATGAATAAATAAATAGATAAATAAACAAATAAGTAAATAAATAAATAGTAATAATAGTTAATAATAAGTAAATAAATAAATAAATAAATAAATAACCGGATAAATGAATAAATAAATAAATAAATAAATAAATAAATAAATAAATAAATTAACTAATTAATTAATAATAATAATAATAATAATAATAATAATGATAATAACAACAATGATGATAATAACAATAATAATAATAGGTCAATTAGAAATGGACTAGTGAAACATTTTTGAGAGCTTAAATGGTTTCAGTAAAACCTAAACAGATCTTAAAGCATTTTTACCGTTTGTTTATTCGAATAGAAAGAAGAAACGTATTTGTTTACCATACTTTTTAAATCCTTTAACTACGAGTGTTAAATACTTTTGTAACAACAAGATCAGGTAGTTTGTAAACAGTTGAGACGATAAGAATCACGCCAATCAAAACAAATATAGCTATAACAACGCATTGTTTACCCCAACTGGTCCAGCACAAAGAGCAGCACGCTTTAGCTCGTGAAAGACACCAGAACTGATCCAGATGAGGACGATTCGGATGCGGAAGATATGGTGACTGAAAATAAAAATGGGATTTAACGTAGTTTCATCTAGTAGTAGAGTGGCTGTAATTTGAGGAAAAATGGTAGATAGGAGTTTGAGGTATGAATTAGTGTTCCAAGGAACTGAAATATTTCCTCTACTTTCTCGCTAATATACTGAACAGAAGGGGACAATTTCTGAGAACTTGTAAGCAGCACAATGGCAAAGTTAGTGCAATTTCAGGGAACTTTTTCATGAAAAGTTCGTTTACACAGATCTTCATAAAAAAAAAGAAAAACAGGAAGCCTCATGCAATCACAAGTAAGCAAAAACAAGGATTTACATGATTTGGTTTTCCACGCTTCTTACCCACAGGGTCAAGTTTTGCTTCTTCAGCCGTCAACAATGTCAGTTCCAATTCTACTGCACCGGTCACATATGGCTTTTGGGCAGTGAAATCATCATCTTTTTTTTTCTTCGCATCAAAATCTAATTTCTGTAAATAAATCGGAAATCTAAACAGAAAGCAGAACGGCCACTTAATGCACGAGTAATTATTGTATATAGAAACAGTCAAAATAGAGAAAAGAAAAACCAATAACTTGTTCGTCAGGTAGAGAAGTGTTAACGCATGGCCACCACCCATAGGTTGTACGCTGTTGAAATAATGAAAACTGACCAACCCTTCCTGATATATATGGCTGTAATTTAAAAAGGTATGTTTTCATCCAAAAGATTAACAAAAACACATCTGCTTTTCTTGGAAACAGAAATGTTCGATATAAAATATATTCGATACGACAAAAGATACGATAATAAAAAGTAGACATACTGGCGCTCGCGGTAACGGAATAACTTTTTTTTCTATCTTGTCTTCTGATATCACAAAAAGATGAGCAGCATTTTACGCAGCAAGCACATCGATAGCGATTTTCGCGAGCATAATCAACATTGTACATTTCATCAGCATCCATTTGTGCCTCTAAATTACGTCTCTTTGTCGAGATTTACAAGGATCAATGTCAAATTCTTTTGGATTCATTCTGATTCTCTCAAACACTTAAAAATTGATTACATAGGTAAAATGAAGAAAAAGCGATTTTTTCTCGGAATTTTTAGATTTTTTCTAGAATTTACAAAGACTTTTCAAAGAAGACTACTTCTCCGATGAAGAATTGCATAGCTTGAAATGTTAAACTCCATTTCGCATTTAAATATGCTAAGGAATATATTCAGAGATCGTATTTTCTTTTAATTCCATCGCGACTGTAACAAATGCAAAAGCACCAATACCATCGAAAGAAAGCAAGTCCAAGGCAAGTTGTCCGATATAGCCATCTTTTCGAAACTTATTGTTGTCCCAGATTTGAACGAAGAGTACTGGATCTACCAACAGTGACGACTTCTTGCTGAGATTGCAAATGTAAAAATAATAGGCAAGTTGATAAATTGCAGAATCACAAAAAGTAATCTTATTTCATCAAAACAACATCTAGTGAAAAGATAGCAGATTTAAAAGAAAAGACCTAAAGAGATGTTTTTTGGTGTACATCGCGATTTTCTTCTCCCAGATATCGAAATCGAAATCAAACACGAAACGCCAGTTAAATGAGCCATATCCATCAAGACTTCGGTAATGAACATCAGTTTTCTCTTCTTTTTCACTTCCGTTCAAAAAAAACCTTCAGATGTATGAATCACTTCGGTTTGAATTAAATGATTCAATTGTCATTACTTATTTTATCAGTTTTAGTGCTAAATACAAGAGCTTTTTTCGAACAAAAACACTCTTCCTCTTAGATGAAAGCCTTCTTGGTTGACACAGT